TGGGACCGCCCCCGGGCCCTCGGCGGCCCCACCCTGGCCCGCCCGGCTCGGCCCGCTGCGGATTCACTTTTCCCGCTTCCCCCGACCCGCTCCCTTCAGATCCGCCGGGAGCCGAGCGCGGCGGCTCACGCCTGTCGTCCCAGCACTTTGGGAGGCCGAGGAGAGAGGACTGCCTGAACCCAGGGGTTCGAGACCGGCCCGGGCAACTTGGCGAGACCTCGTCTCTCTACCACAAATCAAAAATCCGCTGGGTGTGGTGGTGCACACCGTTAACTCCAGCTACTTGGAAGACTGAGGCGGAAGGATCGCCTGAGTCCAGCAGGTCGAGGCTGCGGTGGCCATAAGCGTGCCACTGCACTCCATGATAGAGGCTCTGACTCAAAAAAAAAAGAGCCGCTGGAAAACGCCCAGACACGCACATTCCCACGAGTTGGGTGGGCAGAGGGCAGTGGATCACCCCTCATGGGCGAATGGACCATTCTGTTGGGATTTTTCATTCCCTGCAAATGCTTTTGTTTTTCTCACTAAACTTCGAGGAAACCTAATGGTCCAACTTTGTGTGCATCTGGGGAAGCAGGTCTGGAGAGCTCCAGGGCTCCCTACAGGCTCTGGGCCGGAGCTCCTGCTACAGCCAGCCGGGGTCCTCATGCTTGCTACACCGAGAGGAGCCAAATCCCTGCCACAGCAGCGTCGCAGTAGAGAAAGGATTTGCCGCAAAGCCGCTGAGCCAGGAGGTAGAGAGATATTTCGCAAATCCGCCTCCCCGAGAGTTTTAGCCTAGGGCTTTTTGAAGGAATAGTTTGGCGGACAAGGGCTAGGGTACAGGTGTGATTCATTCGTTGGGGATGAATTCATAGGGAGAGGATGTCAAAACTGTGCAAAGTTGCTTTCTGGGAGGTGGTCACAGGACCAGCAGAGTCAGCTCCTTGGTACATGTCCCAAGTCTGGGTGAGGCCCCGAGTCTATCAGAGTGCAAAGTCTGAAAAACATCTCAAGCACCATGCGTAGGTTTTGCAATAGAGAAGAAAGTCCCACGGAGGCCCACTGAGCGTTAGGGATCAGGAAGCGCCGTTGACCCCGAGACCACTAGGATGCATTCGGGAGCTATTGACCCCATTTCCTCCCCCTTTCTACTCAGCACTAACCAGATTAAGTTCCT